TATATATATATATAATATATATATATATATGGGTCGTGTATGGCATTAAACATTTTTTTAAATGGCATTAAAAAGCATTAAATTAGATTTGATGATACCTGCAGAAACCCTGAATATGGGAAATTCTATCACATTAACATAGTACATTGGGCCCTATTTTATAGACTTTTCTTGGAATGTAATTTATTTCTTTTAAAATAAGCGTGGGTATAAGATTTAAGTTCTTTCAGACCTATCAACCAAGCTGCTTTGTGCATCATTGTTGTCACTAATTCAGAATGCACAGTGTGTTTATGCATGTGCCTGTTTAAATGTGTTAATTGTGGGGGTGTGTAATGCCAAATCAGCATGTCAATTAAATGACAAAATAAATACAACAACACAAAGGTTTTAAAATACAGAGTGACATGTTGTGTACCAAGTTATTTGCCTTTTTGATGTTTGATTGATGCTTCTTTAATCAGAATTAATTTAGGATGTGATGAAATGACGCTTCCAGAATGAACACTCAGCAGCGCTCGTCTTTACAGACACATTGGCTTGTATCCATTATAGGGGTCTGTGACATGAGCTCACATGAAAGTTTCGCACATGTTTGTGTGCCTGAAGGATTCTGGCCTGACATGTCTGCCTCCTTCTCAAAGACAATTCAGCCTTAGAGCATTTAATGTTCGACTTGCTATTTTAGTCAAATTCATACAACATAATAAGGACACTAATAGCTGGAAACAATGACAGTTGTGTACATGTTTATACATAAAGATGTTGTAATAATAAATAAAGTTCTCATTGTTATAATTTCATTGTGGCTAATGTAAATACATTAAGTTCTTAGTTAATACGTATCTTGAATTATTATATATTTAAAAAATGTATAAAGGAGCAAAAGTGCTTGTATAACAAGAATGAAGAAGAAGAAAAAAGACAAGGCTTTCATTTAAACAAGATGCACCAGTAGTTGCACGTTAACTGGAATTAAGCATGCCATTTGAGATACAGTGCTCTGAAGTTAGCTTTAATTTTAAACTGTCAGCACAGAATAATCAGTATTAATCAGTAAGATTTTTCTTCTTGTTGTTTTTATTCAGCGAAGACACACCGAATTGATCAATAGTGGAAGAAAAGACATTTATGATACAAAATCTATTTTTCAAAAAATGTCTATTTCAAATAAATGGTGTACTTTTGAACTTTCTAATTGCCAAAGAATCCTGAAAAAAAAAAGTATTATGGTTTCTACACAATATTAAGTAGCAAAATCAGCATATTAGTATTTCTGAAGGATCATGTGACATTAAAGACTGGAGTAAATGCTGCTAAGAATTCAGCATTGTCATCACAGGAATAAATTACATTTTAAAATATAGAAAAAGTTTCACAATATTACTGTTTTTATTGTATTTTTTAATAAAATAAAATGCAGTCTTTGTGAGCATAAGAGACTTCGTTAAAAAAACAAAAAACTTTTGAACGGTAGTGGGTAGTGAACATGTTACTTTCAGGTACTTCCAGGAATGCTATTGTATTACCATAATAACTTGTCTAAAAAAAATAAAAAATAAAGAAATAAAAATAAAAAACATAATGCTTTTATATACTGTATGTTATGCTTATATATATATATATATATATATATACATATACATGTGTAATGTATGTTTATATGTTAGTGGAATGTATGTAAACAATCCACTGTGGTGCATGATATTCAGAGAAACTTAATCAGTAACTATACAGAGACTTATTTATTTATTTAGTAATTTAGCAGACGCTTTTATCCAAAGCGATTTACAAATTAGACTTACCATAATAACCATAGCTTCCACCAAGGACAGCTTTCAAGGATAGTTGTAACATGTTGAGTTGTAAGCAAAAGTTTAACCAATTAGAAATGAACTACAGGGTTGAAATCACTATCATACAGAGTGACAGTAGAGGTCAGTGCTGTTGCTTAGGTTTCTAGGGCCTTGGTATTGCTTGGGGCCCTGTCAGTTGAGATTGCTGTCCGGGAGAGGCATCCTATTGAGGGTGTTCTTGGGCCCCAAGTATACAGGGTTTATGAGACAATAAAAGCAATACTGAGGTAAGAAAGTGTCATTTCATGTCAGATTTATAATATGATTTGCACTCATGCTTGTGGATTTTAAATGACAGAACTCTTAGCATCTGAGTCATCAGGTTCTCTCGTTCAATTTGTTATATAACATCCACACAAGCTGTTCATTTACATCCAAACACAACTAGAAATATCTTATTTGACCAGACAGGGAGGGTTGTAACACTTTTCAGTGTATCTGCTGGATCCACAAAGGGTTCACAGATTTGGACAGTGTATAGAGTAGGCTAGATTTCACACAACTGTGAGAGTGACTAACACACACCTACACTGTCTGTTGTGTTTTTAGGGTTGTTAGCCTATGTTTTATGTATTTTTTTCCTAATTTAATTAGCTCTTTTTAATTAAAATGTTTTATACTTATTTACGTTTTTGAAACAAAATGTTTATAATGAAATGAGGGTGGACGGTGGTATATTGGGATGACTTATAATGATTTTTAAATTTCATTGCCACAATGAATGTATCAAAACTTATAAAATGCCCTAAACTGCTTCTGGTAGTGGTGAAGGTTGTTACAACAGTACATTTGTATTTATTTACTAGGTTTAGGGATAAGTTGTAGATGTGTTGTATGCGATTTTGAGACCGATAGTGAAAAAAAAAAACACGCCACGCCTGGCAACAAAATTATTACGTTAAACAACAACGATAAACGCTTATTACACTGTTTGCTTGTTAGTTTTGGCAGAACCTAAGGTTACTACTTTTTTGAGAGTTGTAAAAACATCGAATAAAGTTTATACCGTGTTTGCACCTTCGTATATACTTAATATTTAATCGATAATAATCCGCACGAAAGCCCGTCTGTGATGTGGAGTGTGTCGCGCGCTCTGATTGGTTCATTCAGCTGAAGCGCACATCATCCACAGACAACCAGAGCGCGAGAGAGAGAAGGAATGAGCTGTAAATAGGTCACATTTTGAATATCATACATAAAGCAGCTGCAGACATATCACTTATGCAAAGCCTGTTGCACAGTCAAGTAACGTAATCATGACACTGCCAAAACAGTAACAGCTGCTAAAATGTTATAAACCTCCCCTGGCCAGCACATACCATCTTTACCAATATATTCTTCAAACAGAGAGAGAGAGAGAGAGAGAGGCACCATCTTTACCAATATATTCTTCAAACAGAGAGAGAGAGAGAGAGAGAGGCACCATCTTTACCAATATATTCTTCAATCATAGTTTTACTGGACAACAAATCTCAAACTTCACAAACCTGTCATCTCAAATCGCTATGGACTGTCGAAACGTAAGTGAAGTCCGTGTTTATGTTTGTGCAGCTTCAAAAATACATTTATGGATTATGCATATTAAAGATTTCGGTTAGCCTATTTGTGACAGATTAAGTGTATGTGCTATAGTGTTTAGTGTACAGTGTGTGCGATTTTCGATACATTTTCAAGTTGTTTAAAAATTTCAACAATCTCTTATTTCCAAACAGTTAAGGTAAAACTGCACTTGTAAATGTCGTTTTTACATAATCCAGCAAGGTATAACTTGGTTGAGTTAATATTTTAGGATTTACGGAACTGCCTGACACCAATTACATTAAAATATTCAATTTACAAATTAATTAAAAATCTGCATTATGATTACAGAGCTAGATTAATCAGCTAAAACTAGCCATCATGTAAGTGACTGTCGACAAAAAGAGGATTTAACAGAGAACCTGCTGTGGGATGAAGGTGGATTTTAAACATAGTGGATTTTAAATAATTGTAGCAATATCCTGGCAGAGGAATCACAATTTATACAGATATTAGAGGAATATTAAAACACAGTTTATGGCAACAATGACTGGTCATGTTTTTGTTTTTAGTCTGTTAATATTAACAGTACAGAGAATGATACTTGGTAATGTTAATTCCCAGATAAATACTTCTCCATAGGCTTTTCACTGCATGAAGGGATTGAAATGCATTAAGGAGATGTGCTGTGTATGCAGTTGTGTGTGGTGAGAAGGGTCACTGTTTGACGTCTGGTCTTGTGCATTCATAAGTGCTGATTTTCAGAAGTGGCATGTCTGTGTCTAAAGATAGAACACTTGAATGCTTGATCAGTTCATCTTTACAAGCTCAAACACAATCATTGTGCTACTATTTCCACATTACATATCGATTAAAATGATTAAATAAACTAGAGACTGAAAGCTGTGACTGGGTAATGTCAAGTTGGCAAAATTGTTCCTTCCCATTTGTTTTACCTCTCAGTACAGCAGGTGTACAAGCAGTCGGTTGGTTACACAAGTCATCCATTGCGTGGGATTGAAGTTGTGTGTTTGTGGGAGGATTCAGAACTTTCTAGAAACAGCAATTATCTGCGTATAATTTGAAGATGTGTCTGTGAATGATGAGACAGATGGTCATTTGCATGTTCCAAACTGATGGGAGATCTTTCTGATGAGACATACTCACAAGTAAAGTTCACACAAGATGTTCCTTGATTGATGATTGGTCTCAGGATCAGTGTCCATCATGCTTGAGAAAGTTTTGTTGCTAGGTACATTCTTAGAAATGTAGTTATTGCTTATCTTTGGTGTTGAATGCAAATCTAAGAGCATGTAGGTAGAATTTTTTTTGAGGGGCTTTATGGTGAATGATCACAGTAGGAGCCCTCAGGTCCTTGTTTGTTGTGTAATAGATCATTGTTTATCCCTGCATAATAGTGCAGAAACCTCAGAGGAGCGTCAGGCTTCCACCTCACTCAGCTGGATCTTCACACTACTGTTAGCCTGTGAAGCTCTGAATGCTTTCAGCTTAAGTCCCATGACTGTGACACACCCCTAGCAGGCAGGGAAAATGAGTCGAGCTGTCGGAAACTTGAGGCTCGCTAGGGACCGCTGACAGCTTGCATCCCACTGGATGAGGAGCATAAAAGAATCAAAGAAATCAAACAAAAAGAATGAACATTCCCCTAAACATAATAATTTACCTTTGAGTTACCGTGTATTTCAATTTGATTCTTAAAGAAAGAGAAAATATTTTAGAGAGAGAAACTTATAAGTTAATGGAATAGTATTAGAGGCATAGTTAACCCAAATAAGAAAATTATGTCATCATATACTCAACCTCATGTCATTCCAAAATTTGATATTTTGAAGATTTTTGGTAAACAAACTTTTTTGATGACCATTGACTTCCATTATACAGTATGGGCAAAAGAAATCACATTTCTTTCAAGATACTTCACAAGAGACATTTCTTAAAATATCTTCTTTTACGCTCCACAGAAGAACGAAAGGTTTGGAATGACATGAGGGTGAGTAAAGGATGACAGAATTTTCATTTTTATCTCTTGAATGTTAGTGTTTTATTTGTTGCAGTTTACAGTTTCTGGGTGTTTTAATCAAAACGCAGCAATAATATGAGCAGTAATATAAAAAGATTATATTGGGCTGGTGAAAGTACCAGTAAACAATTCCTCTGGGAACAACTGAGTGCCGACTTTAGGTTTTGACATGACTATAACAATACTTCACCATTAGCCACTCCAGCAAACAACACTGTAAAAGTGAAAAGATTCCACATATTCCACCACAATCCTTAGAAGAACCAACACACTGTAATGGCAATTCGTAAATATTTTACGTTTTGGTAAACGTGGCTAATTCGTATACAATTTAATACATTTTTTACGATCTGCTTACACCCCACTTAGAGGTGGGTTTATGTTTCTTTTTTTCTTTTTCTAAAAGTCATACGTTTCTGTACAAATCACATCATACCGAAAAATGTCTCACGCTTCTCATTTCATCAGTTTGAAAGAACCTACATAGCAGGGGTCCTCTACTCTGGACCTTGAGATCCACCTGCAGAGTTTAGCTCCAACCCTATTCAAACACACCTGAACAAGCTAATCAAGGTCTTCGGGATTACTACAAAATTGCAGGTAGGTATTCAAGATCAATACATACATAATTTCATTACATATTTATAACCTTCCTCAAAGTCTTTCCATTGTGATAGGGTTAATAGAGGAATCTCTGAAGCAGGAATTTACTGGATTCCTTTTTGTAAGTTCCTCAGAGACGTGCTCTGCACTCTGCAATCATTTTACACTTAATACAGATTGGTCTCATGTGGTGTTACACAGTGTGACAGTTCGTTGACACTTCACTGTAGATCTTGACAAGGATCTGTAACTGTTCATCTGTCACGTAGTCATAGCTAAAATGGCTGACTGTGTTTTATCTGAACTGCAGGAAGGATGCACCCAGCCACAAGATGAGGACATCATGGACATTCCCCTTGATGACCCAGCTGCAAACAAGGCTGCTGCTAAGATTCAAGCTGGTTTTCGAGGTCACATGACCAGGAAGAAAATGAAGGATGACAAGCCTAGAGACGAGGTTAGTAGCATTGGCAGTACATCAATTTGCCAGGGGTGACTTTAGTTATATAAATTGAATTAAATTATTTAATATATTATATAAATCTACTATGATTTACAGATTAGATTCACATGTGTAAATTACACATATTCTTAAATCACTACTAAAATGATCTTTATGATATAGAGTTGTAGTACCTCCATGGGTGTGCATTAATTTTCAATAACTCCGTGGCCCATCTTTTTCTTTTTTCCAATTATAGCACGATTGCCACATGACCTCAAGACATTTTTAAGCTTTGGCCCCTTAAAACATTTTTATGTGAAGAACCACATCTTTTCACCTCTGATCTTGCTTAGAAACAGCACAAGACCTTTAACTAGTTATAAACTGTCCATAAAGAGCATGGCAGAGAGAAATACAACTGTAATTTTAACTCATTAGTGTAATTTTTAAATCCATCAGCCAGTCCTGTAAGTCACTATCCAATTTAAGGTTAAATATATATGCGATTTTGTCACTTCTGGCAAATGAAGGCTGATCGAAATCCTAATCAGTTTGAAATTATCTTGTAATCTATCATGTATTGAAAGAACAATAACCATTAAAGGTTCTTTGGTAGCTACACAATCATTTGTGTCTGAAATCAGTGTTTCCCCAGCAGACATCAGTGTGGTTAAAATGGTATCCTAGCAATACCGCCTTAATTGCTTGTTGCTAAGCAATAATACAGATGGTACCCAGTAAATGTCATGTGAGCACCCTTCTCAGTTGTATTGCCTATGGTAATGTTTTAAACAAAAAGAAAGCTATTTTACAGAATTTTGATGAAATGCCTTTTGAAAAAGATTAATTTGACATTTCTTGGTTTGTATTTAGCAGGTCTATTTCATGCATAGGAACACAACAGAGTCATCTGTAAATGCCAGCCTTTCATAAGCATATTTCAGGAGTTTTGTGCAAAACAAAAACATGTGTCATCTGTTTCAGAAACAACGAGAGCAGAAGTAGCTAAGAGGACCACCATCACCACTGCCCGATAGCACATCACTGCAATAACCAGAGCTCTTTTGTTTAAAAAGAACCCTTCAGTGTATGATATGAAATCATCAACATCCAAACATGCAGAGTTTGCCACCTGACTAGCAGACTCTCGCACAGTTTCCTCTTCTTCCTTTAGCATTTGTGTGGCTGTTTCTGACTTGAAACAGGTTCACAGCATGACATTTTAAATTCGATTCATTTTAAGATAGAAGTTTGTTTGTGATCTGTCAGCTTTCAAATCTGAAGTGTTTTTCTTGTTGCTTCCAGCAAGGCAAGCCAAATACTCTGTCTGGAGATTTGTTGCTTTGTTTGAAGTTGTGCTTTACTTCTTTGGCTATACTGGATCTTACAATATACAAGTATGCATTTACTAAAAGTCTGTGTTGTTTTTCTAGCATAAATTTTGTTTATGCCTGTTTAATAAAGCAAATTAAGTTCCACATATCAGCTTTCTGTGTTCATTGGACCTGTTACTATTGGCATTTTTGTGTTGAAGGTCATTAAAATGTTAATTACAGCTGATGGAAAGTAACTGCTCAGATATGTTTTTAATTAGTCAAAAGATGTGGTTTACACTGAGAATATTGTTCGTATTTCCAGACAGTTTGTGTCAGATCCATGTGATTCAGTGAAATATTCCCATAGCTTAAGCAATCTTTCAAGCAGTGAGACTGTATCCTTCAAATAGCACAGATGCTCATTAAAAATGGATTTGCTCAAATGCACTCCTTGCGTGCTGCCCTGCCTGTGTGAATGTTTTTTTTTGTTTGTTTTTGGGGTTTTTTGTGCATTTGTGTTTCTGTACCTGTCAGATCATCTCTTGGTAAAATACAGCAGTTTTACCTTGTGTTCTTGTAGCTCAACTATAGAGCATGGCATTAGCAGTGCCAAGGTCACATACTGATAAAATATATAGCGCAGATGCGCTGTAAGTCACTTTGGATAAAAGCATCTGCGAAATGCATACAGATAAATGTAATGTAAATGTCACTGGACTGCATTCTTGAACTTACTGCTCAGGGTTTAAAACAAGGAGGTCTGTAATACCTGTAGAAAGCTCGGTTAGCATTCCCATTAATGTCAATGGCAGTTGCATGGCTGGTGCATGAAATCACAGAAGTACACAATTAGAAATGTGCCATCTGTAAAAAACTATAAAAGTGCGAACTGAATGTCATGTTTTCGGTCGCTTAATTGTATTTTAATTGCAATTAAATGAAAAAGTGTTATTGTTTAAATGTATTTTAAATGCAGTTAGCTAAAGTTTAGAGTGGTTTTTGACTTGCTTGAGTAGAACATATGTAATTTTATAATTAGTTTTATTGTCTTTGAAATATGGTTAAAGTGTACTGCCAAATGTACTGACAAGCGTGTATTTAAATATATTTGTATTCACTTGAATCTTTTAGAAATATTTTAATGAAGTTGTGATTTAGTACATCTAAAATCTATGAACCTTAAATAATATTGAATAACACACTAGAGTTAAAATTACAATCAAGTACTTTACATATTATTTAGTATTTTAGTCGACACAAACTTTTAATTTGAAATTATTACAAAGTCCACTTTTTTTTTTAAAGTGAACTTAAGCGTGTTAAAAAACAGTCATGAAAGAGAGCTTGTAACACTCCAAAGAGAAAGGAAAATTTGAAATCGCATCATATGACCCCTTTAATCTCTTTACGTACACTTAAAGGGATAGTTCACCCAAAAATGATAATTCTGTCATCATTTCAGGACAATGTAACTGGCAGTGCTGAAATGCTAACTTGTTTGTTGGTTTTGGCCTAAAAATATGTAATTCTTGCAGCACTATAGAGCATAAATATGCAAAAATGGCACAGGCCCATAAAATCCAGTACTGCTTGAATTCTAAGGGGTGGCTGTTTGTAACGCCTGACCAAAAACCTATCACATTAACGTTCTCCATCCATCCATTCATTCTCCAAGCCGCTTATCCTCTGTAGGGTCGTGGGACATGCTATCTTGTTCTAGATAATCTAAATAGCTTTTCCGGTTGTGGTTTTGTAATAGTGGTTTGTTGTTTTAAGTAGCACTCTGTTATCTGTTTATTTAAATATTTTTAAATATTCTTTTTTTAGCACTACCTTAACCTATAGTACTATATAAATACTATGATTATATGTGGTAACTTCTTTCAAATAAATAAATATTTAGTCAGAAGACACCAATGTTCTTTTTATGTTGTTTGTTTGCTAGTCAGGTGGCCACTCGGCTGTATTACATAGAAAGAGAAAGAGTGGAGTAGTGGAGGAGATTGGGAGGTAGAGGGATGCTGGAAGAATTGTTGATGGGACGGCTCAGTGGCTGCTGCTTTTACGCTCGTAATGATGATTGACAGGACTGAAGGATTAGGCTCCTCCTGAACCTACATTTGGAACTTCATTTATTCAGTATCTGTATTACTTGAATGCTGCTGTTGAATAGACCAACAGAATTCAGTCTGTATGCTTTTTTCAGTCTGTATGCTCTATTCACTGGAGGGCAAAACAAGATGAAATGGCAAAAATGTACTTCTGTGAGCTACTGTCATTTCCACTCCCACACACTCCCACACCATTACCCACAATCCATTCTAGTTCACCAGAGTTTACATCTTGCCTCTAAGAATTGTGATAGCTACATTGCTACATTATTAGGGGTCTAGCCACTGAAGGTGCTGGAACACTATTGTGTTTGTAATTCCCCCTTTTTTTTTTTTGCCCTAAAAGTATATGGGCATCAGAGACAAGTGTGCCACGCATGTCCAAAATATTTCAATCACCATCTGGTGTCTAGCTGCAATATAGGTCATAAACCCCACCCTATCCATGCAAACGAATGGGATGTAATTAAGCACTTCAAATAAATTTTTCCCAGAGATGGTTTCCAGCATTATAGATAGTTCTTATCACACTGATGTAATTTGAAGTGTTCGTTTTTGTTTTTGTTTTTTTTCTAATAAGTTTGCTTTTAGTTAGTTATTTGATGCAATAAAAAGTTTGGGCAGGACTTTGATCGCTACTGCACAGATTCAGGCTCCAAATGACATAATTTTCACAAGATGACAGTGGCTATACTTGGATGTTTTGGCTTCACTTTTCTATAGTGGAAGGAAGAGGAGACGTGTCGTCCATCTTTTTCTACAGTCGGTGGTCAGAGACCATAAATCGTAGAGACCCTAAACTTAGTAGGATGGTCCCAATCTTGCACCGCTACTCAGGTGCACAGACACAAATCCACCCGACACTATGTGGTGCTATAATAAGGCAATTTGTGTTTTGGTCCATAACTGTGGAACCAGAAGTGCTAGAATCAAAATCATGTTTTCCTATGAATCCTTTGCCCATAATTACCCATAATTACCAGTAATCTTGTAATTAAAAAACATGACACACATACACACAACCAGACAGAAATATGCCAAATTTCATGAATTTCTGTTGCTCAAGGGAGGCTAATCTCAAGGTAAACGTATTAATAGTGTCTCATATGTAGTTTTTAAATATCTCGGCTCAGTTCATTAATTGTATTCATTTTGAGATGGCAGATGGCAGTAGATGTCATAGCCATAGCAGCTTCAGAAGTGAAAGAAATTACTTTTGCAGGAGCCTTAAGGGCAGCAGCGAAATGTTCTTTGAAACATTACAAGGAAGCAGTGCAGGGAAGTTTTTGATATGTTAAAGCGATAAAGAAACATGCATGATATTAAAATGCCACCTGCTGGCAGAGAGTGCATCTGCGTCTCATTCAGCTCGTCCGCTGTTTCATGCAGATATTTTTTATGTATAGTTTCACAAAACTGAAGTCAAACCATTCTGTTTTGCTTCAAATTTCGAAATTATACAATCTAATTTAGAATAAAAACTGCTCATGTTGCATGTATGCAGCATTTTTGTTTGGATCATGATTAAAATGCAATGGTTGCCTCTAATTTTAAATGGAAAGAGCACAGACAAAGCCTTATTTTGTTTATATGAAGACATTTCTTTTATTTGTGTTACTTATTTATTTGATTTTGGGCTTGTTTTAAAATTTCAATTTAGTTTTGTTATTTACATTTACATTATATTTAAATTTTGTCATTTAGCAGCAGAGGCGGACAAAGTACTCAACTCCATTACTTGAGTGAAAGTACAGATACTGCTGGTCAAATATTACTCCATTACAAGTAAAAGTTGTAAAGACAGATTGTTACTTAAGTAAAAGTACAAATCAAACCTGCTTTAAAACCCAGCAACACAACTGTAGCTGTATAACTTTACAACAGCAACACTGCTTTAACAAAAAAAGCAAAACAGCAAGACTTTTTTGACATCAAAACAAACATTTTAAATGCTGTCTAATCGCTCTCACTGTACTTTGATGTCATACACAGAATGGTCTGTGCAGTTCTGCTTCAGTCAAACACCTTTTGTGTTTTATTAGGAGACGCACAACAGTTCTTCTGTTGCTTTATAGGTAATATTTTCATGTACACAATTTAGCAAAATCAGACAATATTGTGTCTAATATATACCACAATATGAACTTCTTATTATTTAATTGTTGTAAAGAAATATCACATTTGCAACTCAATGTTCAAAAAATGCTGGGAAATCTCTTCATGTAGCCCTACAAGAGTGATTACTGATAAACTGTCTGAAAAAAAGAA